TAATTTGGGTAAGTGTGTGCATCTATCTATGTTGGGCCGCGAATCGTGAGTTAGTGAACGTACTGAGGTAATGACCCGAGGATGAGATTGTGGGGCGATAAGAGAGAGGGTGTTGTGATACTGTGGGAAGCCGTAGTACTCACTAGTTAGTGAAAGGGTGTTGTGATACTACGAGGAGCCGTAGTACTCACTAGTCAGTGAGAGGGTGTTGTGATAATGCGAGGAGCCGTAGTACTCACTAGTCAGTGAGAGGGTGTGGTGATACTGCGGGGAGCCGTAGTACTCGCCAGTCAGCGAGAGGGTGCGGTGATGAGCGGTAGGCTTGAGTAGCCTCATTATTCAAGTTTGTAGGATCCTGGTGGTCGGACCAGGGTCGAGACTGGGGTCTCCATTTTTGTCGGGGATCATTATATCCTGAGTGGAGTTGTGGTTATCGCGGCCGAAGGGAATTGGGGAAGTTATGTACGCGTGGGTTAAGGGTCATGGGTCGCGAGTTGAGTTTTTCGTTGGGACGAGTGGTTCCAATTCTGTGCCGGACCAGACTCTCGAGATGAGTTCGATTTTAGTAGTGTATTGAGTAGGCGAAATGAGATTCCGGATTCAGAGATGAATTTCATTTTTAAGGAGGTATTGATTTCATCTGGTGTCTTAGACGTGAGTGGGTCAATTCATTGGTATGGGAAAACCGCAAGACGCATAGAACTAATGAGTAGTAGACGACAGAGGTCGAGGGTGAGATGAATTTCGTATTCGCTTGAGGTAAAGCGAACTCCGTGACTTGTGTGTGTCGCACTGGGCCGAGATAGTTAGTGTGGGAAGGAAGTCAGTGAGACATGTTGAGGTATGCAATGGGTAACCTTTGGAGGTTCAACTGCTAGGTCGGGATATGACCTGGTGCTCAGTGTTGAAAGGGATATTGGAGAAGGGAGCTGGGATTTATGATTGTTAGATGTCAGAGGATGATTCTGAACAAACATGATCATTGTCTTGTGTCTAAGAACAGGGTGTTGAGAGTTCATTGTTCAGATGGGCTTTGATTTTAGTACAGTGGATGGGTCCCTGGTGTGATGTGATCCTTTCATTCTTTGGAGTATGATCTGAATTGTTTAACATGTCTGGTATGAGTAATCGGTAGTCAATTTTTGGGCACTGACTTGTTTTATCAGTCGCAACGAGAGAATCAGAGGGGCAGTGAGTTGACAGGGTCTGTTATTCGAGGAGCGAATAACATGGTGATATCTTGAGAAGGCGGTTAGGCGGTGAGACAGACCACTAGAGTTTCCAGATTCTGGAGAGTCAGAAGGGTTATCGTAGCGGCATAAGGGTCTGTCCTTTTCTGGATGGGAGTTCCTGTTTGGATTTAGGTGTCCATGGAGGGAGATAGTTGTGTGGTATGAGATCCTTTCGGTGGTGCTTTTTGGTTATTGGGATCGATCTATGTGTTGTTGAGGAGCGATTTCGAGGGCGAAATCTAATTCAAGCGGGGGAGAATTGTAACATCCGGATTTTCAGGGATATTATTATGTATGTTAATCTTGAGATTGAAGGAGAGACTCGACGAGTTGAGAGTCCAACTCGCCGAGTCGAGTCGAGTTGCTCGCGTGGATTTAGTGAATGGACTCGCCGAGTAGGTGCTGGGTAGAGAAACCCTAATTTCCCGGGTTTGGGACCTATTTAAAGGCACTTATAGCCTCATTTGCGGCTACCTTCCCCTGAGAGCAAACCCTAATTTCTATTGGAGCTAGAGAGTGAGAGAGAAGCTCATATTGTGGTTCTTATGCATCATTTGAGGAAGAGGAGGAGGTTATCAAGCAAGGAGCTGGAGGTGAGGCTGTTGGATCCAGTGATTTCCTATCCAGAGCTCCTGAGGAAGGTAAGAAGTCTTTACCTTTCTTCTTATTTTGGATAGATCTCATATCTATGGAGATTTAGGGCTTTTTTCCATCTTTTGTTTGGGTTTTTGAGTAGCATGAGTTATCAAGAAGTCTAGATTTCAGATCTGGACTTTGTGAGGTCCAGAGAGTCCAAAGATTATAGCTTTATTTAGCCATATAAGAGTTATTATGGTTAATCATCCTTGTTAGAGTTATATTGGCATTATGAGCCCTATATGCCATGTTTAAACGTAAAGCTTGCCGCTTTACGTGACAATCGACCCTTAGGATGGTAGATCTAGTGTTTGGGGTGATGGATCTGCCTTAAATCGTTTGAATAAGGAATCTGATCGAAGGGACTCGCCGATTCCATGGCCTGACTCGACGAGTCAGTTAGGGTTTGTCCCGATGAGTTTGATCATGTGATAACTTGGCGAGTTGGGGGTCAACTCGATGAGCTGAGCTGGACTTTCTGGAGACTTCTGAGGAAAAGAGGAGACTCGACGAGTTGCATGAGTGCACTCGACGAGTCAGGTCAAACATAGACTATTGACTTGAGTTTGACTTCTGTTGACTTTGGGGTTCTGGTCAACATGAGTGATAGAGGCCATGGAAGGGTAAAATGGTCTTTTATCCACTTCAAAGGGTTAGAGAGAGAAAGAACAACCTTTGGTTATTTGTGTTGTGAAAAGAGTATTAATTAGAGATATTTACCCTATGTGTTAGGCGGTGGATAGTTCGAGATTCGAGTTCGAGGATATTTGCTTGCTTGTTTGCAAGGTGAGTCTTCTCACTATACATGCCTAGAGTGGTAACCAGAGTTGTGTGATAGAGTATCTTATATGTTATTTGTGCACTGTGATATACTGCATTATTTCTATGTGATTATTGCTATGTATTATTCAGAGTTTACAGAGTTAGGACCAGAGGGTCCACAGAGTTAGGACCGGAGGGGTCCATCAGAGTTGTGGGACTGGAGGGTCCCACTGAGACACATTGACCAGAGGGTCTTACAGAGTTATAGCCTCGAGTGGCTAATATGTTGTATGTGGTATTTGGGGAACTCACTAAACTTCGTGCTTACCGTGTTATGTGTTATGTGTTTCAGGTTTCTCAGTATCGCGGGAAGGCACCAGCTCGATTGTACACACCAGTGAAAGAGTTATGTTTTGAGGATCCTGGATTTGAATCAAACAATTATGGAGTTGTGATTTGTAAAGTAAATAAACGAGATTTTTCGTGAAATATGTTATGAGAATTATGCGATTTTAAATGAAAATTTTGTTTGAAAATTTACGTCGTTACAGACTTCTATCACAGAAACATGCGAAACGAATGGAGAATTGAACCAAATTCACTCTCAATTTCTAGTCAATAGTTTCCTCAACGACCCAAAACTTGTATCTAAATTTGTTGCATCAATCACCCTGAAACACCCACAAAATATCAATTATTCTGTTCAACTATTGGATCGATGTGAAAATCCCTCCGTTTATTCTGTTTAACTCCTGAAAAACATCGATTTTTATAAAAGAATCATAAAATCGAATCATAGACCTGATAATTACACGTTTACGTTCTTGATCAAGTCTGTTGCGCAGTTAGTGGATATGGATTTGGGATTGGCTGTACATGGGAGTGTCTTGGATCAAGATCCACATGTTCAAAGCGGTTTAACTAAATTGTTCGCTGAAATGGGTTGTCTTAGGGACTTAAAAGATTTGTTTTTTTGACCAGATTTGGTAACTCGGACAACAATGGTTGTTGCCTGTGCACGATTAGGACTTTTAAATCCATAATAAGAGCAAAATGGAAATCAATTTTGAGAAAAGTCAAAATGTGATTTTGACTTTTAAATGGAAAAGAGTTGACGTGTCCACTGAAACCTGTTAAAATAGGTTAGAGGGACTAAAAAAACAGGTGACTTCTAACATTATGCCCCTATAAACACACAAAATTAGTTTAGGGACTTAAAAGGTCAACCCTACAAAGTTCGTAGGACATTTGTGTCGTTTCCTCTATTAAAAATAAATGTCTTTTAAGTTATATAGTTAAAAGATAACAACAACCGGCTTTGATAATTTTTGGCTACTTATGTCATTGTGCCTTTGAAGGTATAAAAATGACACGACATCATTTTTTTTTAATACCTCACTACCTTTACTACTCAGGAGGCTGAAAAAACAGCTTTTCTTTGTCCTTGGAGGACAACGCCTTTACGACTTACATATGAACTCTTGAGCTATACTAGCTGGATTGCAGTAAAAAACTTAATTATTTCAACTTTAATCATTTATGTGCATATAGGAGGTAAATTTTATGCCTTTTTTTTCTTTCTACATGATATATTTGTTAAATAAATAGCATGATATGCTCATTGCTCATTTTAGTATCGTCATATTTAATATTTTCTATAATTTTTATCCAATCAAATTCGAGAAGACTGTGACTATTGGTTTATTTTGATATTATTATGACATTATGTTGCATTCATCAATTTAGTTGTTTAAAAAAACATGATTATGATTTAAAGTCAAATTAATCATATTTTAAAAAAATTGCTTCTGTAAAACTTAATTTTCCAGTTAAAAAATCAACTATGAATATTTTTATGTTTATTGAACTAGGTGGTTCATTGTAGATGTTTTCTAATAGTGAAAGTCTACACATACCAATCGATTATCATATATTCTGTTGCTACAGCCTACAAGTACGTACAATCTGTGCTAGCTAATGAATAAGAGATATAGCTATCGATAAGAGCTCAAGTACATAACCCTAATAAATGAAGAGAAGCGCAATACAAAGAAATAAGAGAAGCACTAAAGGCGTTGTTAAAAAAAAATCTAAAAGTGCTATCTGCGTTGGTAAATATAAAAACAAAAGTGGTAGGTTCACTTCATTAAATAAATTCTATCTAAAGATTAAAAGAAGGCATGGATGTGAAGGTAGGTTAGAAGTGCTAATCATACAAGAACTTTTCAATACACGATCATTACAAATGCATGTGAATTAGTATAATGAATTGGAGGCCAGGAGAGTGTTTGGTAAGGAAAGCGACTTCCATGAAACCATTCTTATAAATCAAATCAAGCCCTCCCTTCACTGTAATTTTCCTCACCGAAAATGGCACATCTTCTGCTCCCCTTGGCTCTTTCCCTCCTCACCACCGTTTCACTAAGTTTACCAACCACCAACAACTACTGGAGATCCATAAGACCAAACCCTTTTAAGTTCAGAACAGAAAAATTCACGCACTTCCAGTTCTTTTGGCACGATGTTCAGAGCGGTTCTAACCCCACTTCCATCACCATTGTTCGACAATCACCAGTCAACACCTCCAGACCCAACGGATTTGGCCTTGTCAACATGATCGATGATCCATTGACAGAGAGACCTGATATCAATTCGAAGTTGATAGGGAGAGCACAAGGGATGTATGGGTTGGCTTCGCAAGAAGAAATTGGGTTATTGATGGCGATGAATTTTGTGTTTATGACAGGAAGGTATAATGGGAGTACTTTAACGGTGTTAGGGAGAAATCCGGTGATTCAGAAGGTGCGAGAGATGCCGGTGATAGGAGGAAGTGGGCTTTTCCGGTTTGCGAGAGGATATGTTCATGCGAGCACGCATAACCTGAATACCACAACAGGAGATGCCATTGTCAAGTATAGCGTGTATGTATTGCATTATTGAATTTTCAAGTTTTAATTATCGTGTTAACCAATTAATAAAATCATTTTTATGATTTTTTTGTATGATTTTTTCGTAGTAAAACCCAAACATATATAGCATATATAACATGATTATATCTTTTGTTTTGTCTGTAATAAGATTATAAACACCAACTAAACCACATAATACCTTTGGATGATCGGATTAATCACAGCCTTTAGTCTCGATTACGAAGTTATATGTATGCATTTTCTGATAACAGTTATGAGTACGTACACAGCCTACTACAAATAAAAGCCTTCTAATAAAAAGGCAAAGCCTTTTACTAGTTAATTTTTAATTACTGAGACATTGATTATATTGGGTAAGGACGTTTGGTTTGAAGAATGTTACAAAGAATTGAAACCTAACTGAATTGGAATATGTTGTGTGTTTTGTTGACATAAAATGAAAAGTAATGACATAATACGACCAAAATATTTGTATTGATTTTTATAACTTAATATTACTTTTAATAAAAACTATAAACTTCCATTTAATCAAAAACTGCATTTACTCAACTCTTGGCTTATGTTTTCTTAATTAAATTTGCACAAATATATAAAGAAAAAAAGTTAGTTTTACAAAATGAAAATAAATAACTACACTTATATATAACAATTAATAGGATCACTTTTCGTGCAAATTTAAAGAGTTGAATAAAGAAAAATAAAAATGTGTGTGCACGTATCCATGTTCATGTGCATCAGAGTAGTCTTATTAGCATAAACATATGCATGAGTGTGACTATGGGTGTAAGTGTGGGTGTGAGTGTGGGTAGAGGTATAAGTATGGATAGAGGTGGGGGGGGGGGTAGCGTAGGTATAAGTATGAATGTAAGGTAGACATTGGTGTAGGAGTGTGTGTGTGTGTGCGTGTGTAGATATGGATGTATATGTGGGTTTAGATTTGGATGTGGGTGTGGGTGTGGGTGTGGGTGGGCGATGGAGATTAATTGTAATCAGTTGTATTAGGATCACCACCCAACGTTTTGGAAAAGATTTAGAAAAACAACGCTTCCATTCGACAATTAATGAAATATCCATGATCTTCGATATGGTTAGGATTTGCGATTTTCTAAGAGGGCCAAAGTAGTTCTGTTAAATGTAACATGGGCATCTGAAATCAAGGTGGAACATTCTGAATGAACCTAGAACATTCTGAATCAATATGAATCATTTGGAAATACTCTGGAGCATTTGGATTACGGATGGAGCATTTGGATAATGCGCTCCTAGTATACCAAATGTGCTTCATCCCTATAGAGAAAGCATAATGTACTTTTGGCTAAGCCAAAGGTGATCCAGTAAGCCAAATTTGCTCCTAACTTGGGCAAATACGTTGCTACTACCTTGGAATCTCTATAATGTGTTGCTAATGTGAGAATGCATTATGGAGAAAGCGTTGGTACCTACTAAATGCACTCTTGGTCTTCAAAGATGTAACGTCCAATTTTTCAGAATAAAATTTTCATTTTAAAAATAGAATAAGCACCCATTTTTATAAAGTTACATTCAGGTCAATCCCATTTGTTCATAAACCATAATTCAAATTCAGAGTTATAAGGAAGAAATGCGGAATCTTTCATCATAAAAAAAATTGATGTGTGTATATAGTCTCGCCTTCGCAATCTAATAAGCACCTGAAAAATATTTAATTCACAACTGTAAGCAAAAAGTTTAGTGAGTTCTCCAAAATATCACATACAACATAGAATAATAATCAACTATGAGTTATCAGCAACCCTGAGACTATCAGTATTCCTAAATATCACATACAACATAACAATATAAAAAATTATGGGTTATCATCAACCCTGGCACTATCAGTAGTCCTATGAGCTCACAGCAGGCCTATAGGTTATTAGTATCCCTATAGGTTATACGCAACCCTGCGGACTATCAACAGTCCTGGAGTTATCAGCAACTCAGATACATATATAACAATAATAAGTAAATAAGACTCAACTAGTCTAGCATTCACCCTACGATGACATATGTAATATAGTGAGAATACTCACCTGAACGAAGAGCTAAAATCTACTACTCAAAGTCCCACAGAATCAGCTACACAAACCTCCTAAGCCAATCACAAGCTAAACCTCAAACTATATCTCAACACCCCTCTAAGTTTGACTAAAATTCATACTAATCAAAAAGTCAATGGTCAAAGTTAGCCCCAGCTGACCTCCATGTCATGGACACCCATAGGCTACGTCGTGGCAGCTATACGACCAAACAATCATGGTGACACCAGTCTCGATGTTGTGGCAAGCACACGTCATGGGAACCGGGCTCTCACAGCTTAATGAATTAAGCTCTTAACCCTTAACTCCATGAACCATAAATCTCATATTTAAACCTTCCCAAGATCTAGATGGATAAAGTTTCCAACTTTATCCATTAATACATCCCAATAAGCAATTATCTTCAATCTTAATCACTTAATGGTTGTACCAAAGGCCTAGACACAAAACCAAGCCATGAAAGTCCCCTTTCTAACCACCACCATGGTCCAGAAGTCGAATATGGCACACAAAGGTTCTGGAGTTCACTTAAACTGCAAGAACAAGACGATATATGCCAAAAAGCTCATAAAATGACCTAGAACTAGATCTAGGGAACTAATGAGCAAGGTGAAGACTTTATACCTCCAAATGACCAGAAATGTGATGAAGATGCAAGATCTAAGATGGAACCAAGCACACAAGCACCAAAATAAACTCCTTCCATCAACATTTATAAAGCTGGCTTCACACATTCAAAAAACACATATGGAGGCTAGGGTTTGGATGGGGTATGATCTGAGTGGATGGAGGCTACCAAAAGAGGCTACCCAAGGAGTTAGTGCCTTTAAATAGGGCATAAACCCGAAGATTTAGGGTTTTGTACCAAAACAACCATCATGTCATGGCCAGGGCCTTGCCATGTCGTGGTGCTCTGCAAATACGCTTTCCTTAACTTGACGATGTCAGGTAGTGGTCCTTAATCATCATTTCGTGGCGAAGACAAAATCCTCAAAATATGAGTTACAATTCTCCCACACTTAAATTAGATTTCGTCCTAGAAATCTGCCTTTACAGATTTTTCTTAAAACATCCTTCAAATCCCTTGTGAGTTTTTCCATGTCTACTCCATTCTGCATGAGTCGACACAACCCAGTGTACTAGTAGCTACAACAATAATCATAATGATTTCAAAACTAGATGCATAAGCCACTCCCGAGTGGAACTTTCAAATGGTTGACGTCTCACCCACAGTCTCACTTGAACGATACCCTAAACAGACCACCTCTTGTTGGCACAAAAGTTGAAACAATCCTCAACGAGAAGCACATGACTCTAGGAATAAACAAACACCAACACACTACAACTAACCAACACCAAGAGGTACTCAATCCTTAATCATATTTTGAAGACTTCTAGATCATGCCTGAGTTCCAAGCAGACAAGGCCACCCTACATATCAACCATGCTGACCAAAAATTCACAGACTTAACCCATCTAAGATTCTCCTAGCCTCAAGTTGTCCTACTGATAACTGGGTAACAGAATCCACAACCAATCGTCCTCGCCGACAACCTCACATACATACGCAAGAGCGAAAAATAAACAATCAAAGGATAAAATACCCCACACATCCACTCGGGACCAAAAGTCCTTCCTCCAAAAGACCTCAGTTATACACCTGACTTCCTAACAAGTCGTGACTAACCAACCACTCCCATGAGCGTAACCATGGTCAATACAATATCTCGTGTGACATTCAAGCTTCCAAACGGCTCAAATGCATAACCATCTGCCAAATCATCCAAGAGACTTACAACCAGTTGCATCACTGGTAACTTAACTCACATGAAACCTTCTCTTAAAACGAAGACGAATCCACAATGTAGAAACCCAATAATGAACTACTAATATACAACCATGACTTTTCCAACAAGTCAGATTATATAAAAGCTAGATCAAAACTTGTCTACTACTGATCCATCAGTAGTATCTCCATACTACTCAAATACCCAACTATGAAAAAGACCAACGGGCCAAACACACGGGTCACCACGACACACTGTCGACCCAACTCTCATAGGTGAAATCCATAATGGTTCACAACATGCCGTGACACCGTCCGACCATTGGTGTGAGAAGCTCACGGTTCCTCTCCATTCTCTTCATCAGCCAACCAAAATCATGAAGACTCCCGACCAACACAGAATGGGCCTATAGGTACATGGCTATCCCCCTACCGACTTGCAGGAACCCAATAAACATCCCACTCAGCACTTACCAATCACGACAAGAGCCATACAATTTTATAACACACAACCCTTCCATATTGTGAGCTTCCACTAGTAAGTCATTAGACGAAAACATGGTCGCAAACATCTGAAAATAGGATAGAAAGTTGAAAGCTTGCTTCAACTTGGAAACACAACATTGCACACTCCCCATGAGAAAACACAATGCGCCTCATGTCGCTTGTGTTCCTTCTTTAACATAACCTTATCCAAGGGTGAAGTACCATCGAATCAAACAGAACGAGGAAACTCAACTGTTAATAAACACCATCCTAACAACCAAACAAGATCCCACGCCTTAAATGAAGTTGAATGGATTCCACCAATGCGAGATTAAACCAATAAAACTTTAAAATTCGGAGAAGAATTCCAAAATTATCCAGAAATGTTGCCAACACCCTAGTCAAATCAAGCCAAAAACCAACACATCCGACACGTGAAGACAAAACTAGACCCTGGGGGAGAAGGTTTGGTTGAGATTGTGCCACGTGTCACCTCCGGAACTTAACCCCAAAATTAATTATCTTCTAAATTTCGTAACGTTTGCATACGAGCTCCGTTTTTTATGTTCTTTATATCCACGCGTAGGAAGTGACGTGATCTATAACTTTCATTTAGATTCTGTCGGCTAATTTTGACTTTATTTTTAAAGTTATATTTTATACTTCCTTCCATGTCCATCTCTC